ATATATATATAATTTATAATTTGCACAGTAATTAAATCATTTTTTTTATATATCATATTTTTTTATGCGATATCTCATGTATTTCATATAAATCAATGTTATCTTAAATATGATATATTTAAGATAAAAAGTTCACATACTGTAACGATTCCCATATTTTGTTGTACATTGCTAAATGCTGTGAGGCTTCGCTCATGTACCCCCGCATTTTCTCGTAAAACTCGCAGACAATCGGTTTGTCGAACTGCTTGGCCTTTTGCATTTCTCTTGCATCGAGTAAATTTATACAGTGAGTACAAATTCTAAAGTGTTGTTCACTGCTAGCTGAATCATTGACTAATGATAAGATACTGTTCAAGCTACCATTGGAAGGTGAGCGTGCCAACTTTGTGAGACCAATGCGCGAGCGTACTATTCTCTCAGGAAATGCTCGTTCCGACGTAGAGGACAGAGCGGAATCATCTTGTACAGACACAGGACTAGTCATTTTTCCTAAAAATAAAAAAGAACTGTTTTCATCAGATGTAACTTCAGAAATTTATCTGTGTCATTAATGTTATATGTATTACATACGTGCGTCACTTATAGAGAGAAATACTGTACAATTATGGCACATGACTGCTCCACAAAGTCTGCAGTGATGTTTTCGCCTCGCCAAATGAAAACTCTTAGCACAATTAGGGCATAAATTCACATCTTTCTCATCAATCCATGGCACAATAGTGCGTTCGTGAACTGTTATAAAATTTTTATTTATATTATATTTTTATTATACCATAAGACAAAATATTATAGATATATTGGTAAGTAAAGAGCTATCTTTTAATATACATTTTCACCTTTTCTATCGACAGGATCTGATGGTAAATTATTTAACAATTTATCTAGCCTTATAAGAAGTTTATTTGTTTCATAAGCATATCTCTCTAATCGAGTGTTTCTTATATTCTTAAAGTACTTTGTATGAGTTGTAATTGCACCTGAAACAGTTCTTTAAAATTAGTCACATGATATCCAATATTTGTCAACAATAATTCAAAATCAAAGATTACTCCTATTTAAAGAATAGCCTTGTTTGTTTGTGTTTACAGATAATATATAGAATGTATTTGTACCTATTTCTTGTGGTCCCCAATTAATTTCAGGACTTCTTCTCTTGTCCTGTGGAATTGCGCTTTGAAATGTTTCTGGTATATCATCCTGTTTCAAAATCTTTTTCTTGGCTTTGCCAAACAAATCTACAACACGCAAGCTCTGCGATATTCATTTTGTATACATTACAGGCTTAGTGACTGATAGTACAACTTTGAAACTCTGTGAACTTCTTTTACGATAAAATAATAAGATAAGAAGACGAAACGAGCTATGTATACCTTTCAACGATTTTAGAATTTCAGGATCATCATTGTGGACTTCCTCGAAATGTTTGGTCAAATGATTGGGTGCCTTGAAATCGGTCATGCATATGGGGCATATAAATCCCTCGAGCACTTCACCGTTGCCGGCCATTACAAGGCTAAAATATATTCTTGTGATTTACAGTTTAGAGTCCTTTGATTGCGTTCACCGGTTTCACATTGCGTTTTAACGTAGACATTTCTCCAATAATTCGGAAGAAAAATGCATCTCGCAGACGGCCATATTGAATGTGACAGCTGATAGAAATGTCAAACGCATTAACCTCATGCGATCGCGAACATGTATCTTGGTTAGTCCAGTTTTTATCAAATGTCTACGATATTTATATATATTGAACGATATTATATGATATAGAACAGTATTTTGAAATATTTCTGTTACAATTCTTATTACTATGTATTTTCGGTCCTTTAAACCTTACTGAAAGATTTGACATTTCTGTACTTGTCCAGTCTTTGTCCAAATTAAAGATAAGATTGATATAGAAAGCATTATAAAATTATTTTATGAAAGATTAGATATATATGTTGACATAAGAATGCCTTTTTTTATTCGAATCATAAATTCCGGGCTTTAAATAAAAAAAAAAGAATAAAATATTAATTTAGTTTTTAAATATTTATATATTTTGTATCTTACGAGAAACGTAGAAAAAACTTGAAAAACATTATATGTCTATCACGTAAATAAACATTTTTAAAAGCGTGAAAGGGAAGCCATAAATTATATTGTTTTTATGTATTTATTTATCTTATATATATATATATATATCTCAGGACATTTACATAAATTAGTATATACGGCTCAATAACACAGATATAATAGGGATCTCATACAAATGTTAAAAAATGAAGGTGTTATATAGGTGCTTGATCTATAACAGCATTGAATTCAGACAAATTTACAGGCCATCCTTTCCGATTCTTTCAAAAAATTCTGTTTTACATATTATAAAACCGAACACATCATTTTAGTAAAAACAATAAATGTATAAAAATTATATTATAAATTGGTGCTTTATACAATATCATATGTGTATCATGTTTAAACTAATAATTTTATATGACTTTATATTCCTGGCAGGAGAAATAAAACCTACATTTACATTCTATTTGTATATACGAGATCAATTACATTAATTTTATAAAATCACAAAAAATGCGTTAGTGCAATAGATATTCCATTAAAGCGAATATGTCCATTATACAAAATCATTTTGTAATAAAATTATGTGCGATATAAAATTATGTATAATATAAACACAAAATAAATCGAAACGAGATAGAGAACTTGTGCATTACGGCATGCAAATTTTAAATCAACCATCTTTTAAGGTTGCAGTCTATTTCGTCTTATGTTTTATACACATTATACTAATGTATACATAACATTTTGTGTATGTATTAAATACAGTAACAATTATTGATTTAATGTATATATACCAATGTGTGTGATGTTTAATTTACAGTATATATTGTCAATGATGATTGCTGTTACTGTTACTCATTTAGTACTTAAATGTATGTTATGCGTATCAATATTACAAACGCGTCAAATCAAGGCAAGATAATTTAATTTTGTTCAGACGTGTGCAAATTTGCCCAAAATATATGTTTATAAAGTATAGAGTTAATAACTATATACTTGTTAATAATATATAAATGTAACTTAAAAAGAAATATATTTTACAGTAAATTTAATGTGCTTTTGATATAAAAATTATTTTTTAAGTCTCACGAGACAATCATAATGCAACTGTTCACAATACAATTTCACAATAGAATCTGTGTATTATATACTTTTTTCTATCTGGATCCAATGCTCACTTAACATATTAATGATGGTAGTGGACGGAGTGGAGGAATGTGTGTAGGCAAAAACAGGGAGAGGACTAAAAATACCAAATACTCTAAATATACTATAAATGAGATCTCTTAAATCGCACGCTTGTCTACTAAAAAAAAAAAAAAAAAAAAAAAAAAAAAAAAAAAAAATATGCTACAAAATGTAAACGAAGTTCGGGCAAATTAAAAAAGAAAGAAATATTTTCTTTCAAATGGCATAAAATTATTAAATCACAAGATCAATGTCAGCAGCATCGTATGCCGCGACTCAAAGAAGTCAGAGAGACGATACCCAATCCTAAATAAAGCCAGGCGATTTGCAAAAATCGCTAAGTTATAATAAACTCATTCGGGAACGCGTTAGATTTATACAATCGAAGCGATAAAGCACGTGTTATATACGCGCTTATTTCGCGCGCGAAAACAATCGATCGCTTTACTCAACCTTGAATCTGATTAACGATGGTGCTAGATCCAACGGAAACGGACGGCGGGCTTGCCGACTCTTGCATTAGCGTGTGCGTTTCCTCCTCTTGATCGGAAAGCGGCAGCACTGGTGTGTCGTGCGAGTTGGCTTGCTTCATCTTCAGCTGACTCGGCACCTCTGTGAGTACTGGCCCGTACTGCGAAGTGGAACCCACCAGCAAGTCAGTCGATGGATTCAAACCGCCCAACATCTTTCCTCATAGCAACGCGTACATAAGATAAAGAAACGAGACGTACAAAACGTACCAGAGAGCGGATGGCTTCTGGTAAAATAAAATTATAAGCGCAAAATATCATATTCAGCTAACTGTGTCCGCTTACCTGACCACTGCTGCCCGTCATGCCGTTTCTCGGCGATTTGCTACGACGAAAGAAAGTGAGCCATGCCCAAATTAAGCCGAGTAATACGCCGACCAACATCATTCCAGCGCCTAATGCTACGGAACCTTTTCCCGCATCCTCTATTTGTTGTTGTACATTTGTAGCCATCGTTGTATGCCCTTCTGATTTTACCTACGATTGAATTCATTCATAATCACTTTAAACACACAAATCTAAATCTGAATGACGAGATAATTATAAATATACAATAGATTCCAGAAATGATAAAATATATTTGCACAATCACCCTGATGAGAATCGCGATTTTACCTCCTGTATGGAACTCGTCTGCGACGAGCCATCCGTGGAGACGAGGCTGACGAGCGTCGTCGTGAGGCCGGCGACAAAGAAGCACAGCGCGACCGACAGCAGCATCCATTCGAGCCACTTTCTAGAGCTGAGCTTGTGCCTGGACATGATGCGCCAGAAACCGTGCCTCAGGCCACCGCCACCGCCGCCGCCGGTGCCATCGCCACCGCTGTCGTACGTGTAGCCGACGGTCGTCGGCTGATAGACGGCCCCGCTGTCCGGCATGTCCTCCCGCGAGATGTACGCAATCTTCCCGCTTGGCGTTCTCGATTAGGAAGGTCACGATCGCTCGCGAAGAGCGGAGAAGCACCTCGTTTCAGCGTTATTACAATCGAACGGGGACAAAAGTAACGATCACGACTGTTGCGTCAATCGCGCGTCGCAACTCGAGCGCAATTGCACGATTTCACCAAGATGAGACACGAGACTTCTTCTCTGACGAACGCGCTTTTTGTAGATTTTTTTTCTTTCTCTCTTTCGTGGCGCAGCGCAATGTGGCTGCACCCGCGTGTTTGTAAATGCGATACGAGCAATTGCTGATGGCTGCTGATGACTGCGAGCAAAGCATGAATCGTACACGCGCGCGCACTGATGCATCGGATGCGTCTAACTTGCGCAATATGCGTCTGATGAGATGTCTGTTTCTTTCATAGTTTCTTTTGGAATTGTACGATTTAAACGTATACATATACCATTCTTCCTCCTTGATAGGCTTTTTTATTTAACCTTTTATACTTTATACTTTTAATCATAATCTAGTATTATCTGTCTAATCTAATTTATGTTTTCGAGGACACTCAACTGTGATTGGCCGATTCGTCTAAGTGTCTCTAAAAGACTGAAGTGTTTAAAATAATGTAAAAGATAAAATATTTTAGAAAAAAGCCGCGCAATATGTAAAATTGTTCAATATTAATGTAAACAAACAAAAAATAATTCTTTTTTTGCATTTCTTATATAAATCGAATTTAAAAATTTAGTTTTAGATATACCTACATGCATTTAAGTCCAAAAATACCATTTGTTGCAAAATATATATAAGTATAAACACAAACATGTATATTGGCATAAATTAAGAAATACATTTTGTCTAACTATGTCATAAATAATAATGACAACAATCTAAGAGAATAAGGAACACTCTGCGAACATAAAATTCATCTCTTTTATTAGGACGAATCAAGTTTGTTTGCATTATCTATTGTGTTCTTCATCTTTATACAGAAAAAACTTTATACATTAGTGATAAAATATAAGCGTAATATTAATATAATAAAATTTTTTAAAGTATCATATATATATAACTATGTACATATTTAATATTAATTAATTTTAACTTGCATCTGTATTTTCAATATTAACTTTCACTTTCTGAATAGTTTGAGTTATCTTCAATACTTATTGTACATGGAATGAATTCCTGCCCGGATTCCTGAAAAGAATAAAAATGACTTGTAGTAATAAAGATGAGAATTAATTTGCTATTTTAATTTGAAAAAATCATTACAAATGTAAATAATATTTTACATACTGTATTTACAATAATTTGTCTTCCTTCTTCGAAATTCAATTGTTCCATTTCCTCTGTTGTTAAGATTATTACAGAATCTTCAGGTATACTATTCTCATCTATATAAGTTATAGGTATGTCTGAAGAAACCTATACATATATTATGTATTTCATTAGATAGTAAAATATCATGAATTCCAGCTTATTAGACACACAGCTTGCAGAATTTGCAGTAGATACATTACCTCACAATAGCTAAAACTGGAACCTTCCTGTATTTTTACTTCAGTATCATGCTGTGGCATATCACCCAGATGTCGTTTTTTCATATTTGATAGTCTTCCCATTTTTTTCCCTTCTTGTTGAAGCCTTCGCCATATCGTAGTTTTCGGAATATGGTATGTCATAGATGCTGCAGCTTGCGACATTTTGCCACCCTTGCAAGCAGCCACAGCCTCTTCTAATCGCGATCTTTTCAATTCCTCATTTTCTGTTTTGCGTTTCTTCCAAAATGACAAAGGCAATTTACCTTGATCAACTAACCGTGCTTTATCTCTAAACAATGTTGTCTTTGGTATCTGTTAAATTAAATTTGATTGACTTTAATGAAATTAATTACAAATGAAATAAAAAATTTAAAAAGACGAAAAGAGAAAGTAATTGAAACAAAATTTACTTTAAATTCTAGTGCAACTTTTGTCAGATTCTCCCCTCTTTCCAAAGCTTTAACAGCAGCCTCTCGTGTATCTAGAGCATATGACCTTTTTGTTTCAGAACGTAAGTTCTGATAACCCTCTTTTTGTATGCGTCTCCATAACACAGTTTTAGGAATTCTGAACATTTCTGATGCATGTTGTAAGCTTGAACCACCTAATAAGAAAAGTGTAAGTGATTTATACAATTATTAATTAATGACATGTACATATACATACAAACATATATATTGGAATGTGTATAATATATTAAAATTTAAAAATATAAATTTAAAATAAAAAAGACACTAACTGATCACAGCAGTTATTGCTGCACTCATACATTCTGCGGGATATCCGTTTCTTGATGTATTTAAATGTATGCCTAATGCTTTTGCCCTCATATATAGCGTCGAACGTGGTATATTGTGCTTAGTAGCAGCTTCTATTAAAGTTTGTCCTAATTTTAAATCATTAATTGCAGAAGCCAGCATGTCATCGCTGTAATCTCTCTTTGTAGTTTCGCGGCGACGTTTCTTCTTCTTATTTGAGGTACAATTTTCAATGATGCTTTGTGTATGTAAGTCATTCTCTAAAGATCCAACTGCATTTTCTTCAATTTTATCTATTTCCGTCACAATTTCTTCCGTAGAATCTTTTATGTTTTTAATAGTTTTTTCTTCAAATCCATTTATCTGTTGAAAATATTATGAAACAATTATACATTTCTGACAATACAATATATATATTATAAGCTTTATAGCAAAATAAAATTCAAAATAGCTTGCAGGATACAATTAACAGTAGATAACAATTTGACACTAACATCGACAAGACCACTTATTTTTAGCGACTGCGCAGCCTCAAGTAAACTATTAATATTATCTACAGGAATTCGAACCTCGCCATGATAAATGAATTCAATAATTGATTTTATATTCTGAGGTGATATATCACTCAGAATAATTGTTGGATAATCTTCTGTCACTTGACTAAGAACTTCCTGTAAATTATGCGATATTGATATTACAATAATTACTATATATATTAATAAATAAAAATATAAATATAATTATCATATGTAATATCGTTATATTAATATATTGTTATATTACTTTTGTACAATATATTATACAAGCAATATATAGAGAGATATATAGAGAGACAACAAAAGAAATTTTGGGGAAAACTATATACAGTTTTTATACAATTGTGCAATTACTATTGCTGCTATTAAATGTATAATGCCCAATTGTATTTCCGAATTATTGATCGAAATAAAACATTTCTCAGAACGTTCGCGGAATTATCATGAGATAATTATAATTACAATTAATAATTATAATTATTATTATATTTTATTATTATATTATACTATTTTATTATTAATAATAATTAATAATGATAATAATTATTGTTAATATGCTACGAGATAGAGACAGTTTGTTTACTTTAAACAAAGTGCTGCATGCGCATAATACGATGCGATGCGCGTGAATACGTTGACCAGCTGCGGACAGAGTGACGTCTACCATACAGTCCTCCTCCAACAACTGTCGTACGACATCGGATAGGTGGTTTTGATAATCGCTCCATTTAAAGCGATAACTCTGATTAACTTTACGCTGGCCAGCAACGTCAGTCATGTCGTTTCAGTTTCGTTTCCTTTCCAATTCTTCGTCCTTCGAGACGAATGGAATTCGGAATGGGACTGTGATCGCGTATATAAGATGGGCAAGTTTATCCATCATTTCAGACGGTCGCACACAGATCGATTGATATAAGAGATGCTTGAAAATTCCCTATCGAACGACCAATCATCGGTGGAGCCACTCATCGCGCGCATAACGCTAGATTCTAGATAACGCTATTGTCGCCATGCAAGCATTACTAATACGCATTCGCTTCTCGTTCGTTCCGCGAAAGAAGTGACAGGTGACAGTTTTCTGTCATTTTTGCTTCGCTCCGATTTTTAGCATAATTATGAGATGCTACTTTAAATCGTATAAAAATGTGCAAACGGGTGTAAAATAATATGTGCCTTTCAGGCGCATTAATAGAAATATTGTTCTACGCTTATGATATGTGTGATGAAACGATGGAACTGAAAACAAAAATGATTTTACATTAGTTTACATTTTCCACACTCATGACAGATGAGAAATCTCAATATTATCAAAATATAGAAAATTTTATCGATCAATATGTAAGTTAAGTAATGGCACCTGCAAAAGACAAATGGATTAAACGTTTTATAATTACGGAAACAAGGCGGCATAAGAAGGGCTTCACAATTTACAAAATTACATCTATGGTATATGTGATAGATGTTTTAAAATATTATTGTACATTTTGTTTTCTGGGTCTCGATAATATCATCAAGCTTTTCATATTTTGTAGGTATTTCTGAAATCTTCTCACGAAGAATTGTCAAAGGTATCTGTATGGAAACGTTACAATGATTTCAAAAAGCTTCACTCAGAGCTCAGTAGTTTGCACAAGCGTTTAGGAATAAAAGAAGCCTTTCCAACTTTTCCCAAATCAAAATATTTCGGCAGATTTGAGGCCGAAGTTGTAGAAGAAAGAAAGAGATACATTTTGAAATTTTTGGAATTTGTAGGACGACATTCGTACTTATACTCAAGCGATACTTTTATAACATTCTTTGAAACTAGTCATGCGGATAATTATGCTAGCTATTGCGCGCATTCCTTATGCTCCGATACATCGGAGGATGATCTCATCGCCCCTTTGAATGATTCTGCATTTGCAAATGATACTACAGCACAAAACAATCTTCAAGTGCTATCAAAAACATCTCGCAATGTTTTGTCAAATCCGTGTTCCGCATTGCCAAATATTAATTATACCAACGAGAACGAATTCGCATCATCTCAAAGAAAGAACGAATCTCTTAGCGCTATCAATTTACAGATTGTAAATGTGAAAAAGGAAGAACAAAGTTATAAAACGGAAAAGTCGCATGCGCAAAATACTATTAGAAGAGATTGCGATGCAGATATTAGAAATAAAAACTTTGACGAAAACAATGTAACAACACTAAGCAATGTGTCAGGATTCTATAATGTCAACAATAATATTAAAGATTTTTCGAATTGTAATACGCGTTCCACGTGTTCAATATTACAGGAAAAAGTGAATACTTCATATCAGACACAGACGGATTTTACGCAATATCTGTTAGTAGCTGCTGCTCATATGAGCGCGGCCTTCAAGCATGAATCTATAGCCGAATACGAGGAAGCTTTCATGCAGTACAAACTGGGAATATCGTGTCTTATAAATGGCGTGCAGTTTGATCCCGATAGTACAAGGGTACCAAGTATAAAGGATAAAATATCAAAGTATTTAGTACGAGCTGAACAATTATATAACAGGCATTTAAATTGTAATATCTCAATAGTAAGCAAACCGGTATCAGAGCTTCAATATTATAAAGTACTTAAAGTAATAAAGTTGGTGATGCTCGTGATGGATATCCGTGCGAATTGTAACAGGATAATAAAAGTAAGAGATCTCAATTGGATATATATTTCACACAAGCTTTAATTTTAAGACATTAAAAATTTTTTAAATTATAATTTTTCAATAATATTAAATATTATAGTAGATGTTGTAGATAGCGTTTAGAAATTTGTAGTTATATAACTAGAGTAATTTGAGATAATTTTTTTTAGACTGTAGAAAGATCTTCTGTTCACGAGGATAATATAAGTGATTATATATTACGTGGGCAGGTACCATGCATGGTACATTTATACGCATGCATTGAAACTGAGACAACTATATTTCTGATTCTGCAATATGCAAGGTATAGATAATAATTTCACTTGTAATATTTTGTAGAATATCATTTACTTATGTTCTGTGTTATAGTTGTGGAAAACTATGGGATTTTGTAAGACTACATTACGAAGCATCTGACTATTTGCATACTGATGTGATTTCAAATCATGTATGTACAAATAAACATATTAATCAGGATCTCCATAACAATGAAAGTATTCACGAACCGAATAAAGCAGAAGAAGTTGTAGAAAATAATAAACGGGGAAAGGATCATCAATATTCTATAGATGTCCTAAATGAAATCTATATGGAGGTGCCTACTGTACAATTGTTAGAAAAATCGCAAAAATTGTTACAATCCGTTAATGCGACATTGAGACAAAGCAATTCCGTCGCAAATCGGTTAAATGAATTTAAGGGATCGAGACATTCGAAAGATGCACCATCGATGGACGCGAAAGCTAGAGTATTTCAAGAATCAGACTGTACATTATCTGATATTTATTGCAATAAGTCACCAAATAATATTAAGATAGATGATATTAGTGTCGCTGAGAATCTCTCAATGAAAAGTTTCGCGGAGGACGAAGATTCGAAAGGCGCTAATTCTTTATCGATAAGCAATAGCGAGAATTCGAATATATCGAAGAATATTCGCGAGTCTGTATTAAATGAAGATTGCACAATCCATAATTCACTTGCAAATAAAGTCAATGATTCATTTTATAACAACTCTACTTCGAATACTGTTTCAATACAAAATGTCTTGACCGATAATATAATATACATCTGTAAAAATAATAATATTAAAGATACGATCGATCGGACAATTTCGTCGAACGTTAACTCTAGTCTTGATGAAATACAATATTCGCATTCGTGTAAAGAAAATACTATGGATGAAGAAAAGATACTTTGGAAAATACCTGAAGCTGTAATTCGATCGTGGGCGGCTGAAATACTTTTAGCTCTGGAGGCACTTCATCAACAGAACGTCTTGATTCTCGATTTTAAACCTGATAATATTCTTCTCGACGACGCAGGACATGTGCGGCTCACTTATATTGTACCGCAACGCAATGTGGAATTGTCGAAGCTAACTCATCCATATTCGTCGCCCGAATCCACAATGTATTCTCCGACTATTCTCGTTACATCCGCTACAGACATTTGGAGTTTTGGAGTTATTTTGTATGAACTACTTACTGGCATTGTATGTAAAATTGGGCATTTTTAATTGTAAGGTTATTTTCAACAATAGTAAAGTTTGTCTTTATTTTTTTTTTTTGAAACAGGCGTTTATCGTCAAACATCCGGGATTATTTCACTCACATTCCACAGTTAACATTCCTGGCAAGCTATCAGAAAATGCAAGATCTTTGTTATATGGCGTAAGTTTATATTTATAAAAAATAAAATGACAAATTGTAACTTTATCTATAATATTATGGTTGCAGATACTGAAATATCATCCGGATGAACGATTGACAATAGATGAAATAAAACGTCATCCGTTTTTCGCGGGAATTGATTGGTCCACTATGGATAATTCTCAAACGTAATACTTATATTATTAGACAGTAAATAAATTTCGCATAATTGTTAATAAAATGTTGAATATGTATCTATTATTATAAAGAAGATATAAATTCATTTATATATAAAAACTTTATTTTAATGTAATACAAATAAGTAGTTCTAAAAACAAAAATAAAAAATTAATTTGATCAAAGAAATTGTGTAATATAATTATTTGGATTTTATTTTCTCAGTTCTGCTTATTGCTGACATACCATCAATGAATCTAGTTGTAAATAAGACATTAGCATTGTTGAACATACCAGGCTTCAAGGACACAATGATAAATTGTGAATGTTTAAAATGTTTCTTTAACATTGTGCCTATATTTTCTGTATGCGAAAGATCTAAGGCAGCATCTATTTCATCTAGGATATAAAGCGGTGCAGGTTTATAAAGAAGCATAGCTAAGACCAATGACAGGGCAACTAAGGATTTTTGACCACCGGATAATTCTCCCAACGACTCTTTCCAGACTCCTGAAAATCCGATCTTCACTTCTAAGCCATCTGTTATTGTTTCATTTTTTGGTGGTTCTAATTTAGCCTCGGCACCTGGCAATAAAGTACTGAATATTGAACCAAAGTCCCTGTTTACCTGAAGAAATAAAATTGATCAATATATCTTGCAAATTGTGCATTTACATAATATTCACATAATCTAAATTAGAAATAAATTTGTTTATAACATATCAGATTTAAATTGTTATATATGTATTCATATGTACACACGCAATGACATACATCCTATATATATATAAAATCTAATATGTTTAAAAAAAAAAAAGATATATTTTATTATACACGAAAATATAGAGAGAGTTATGTGTAATTTTGTATTTTAAAACTTTGCCTCTCAATGAAAAAATTATACCTGCTCCCAAGCTTTAATCAAAGTTTGCTTCTTCTTTTCATCTAAATGTGTGATTGTCTCAAGAATCTTTTTCTTGTCATTTTCAACTATCCTCTTCTTTTTTAATGTCTCGTTGTACTGTTCCTCTTCTTTATCAAGAAGATTGATTGATCGTGTGTTTATATTGCGACATAACTTTTCGCGCATTCCTTCCAAATGTTGTACTTTCTGTTCCATTTCATCTGGTTTATTGATTTTAAAATCGTATATTCCACCTAAAAGTATATATAATAAATACATAATTTTCGATCATATTTTTATATTCATCTAATAAAATAATATGTATATGTTTATTCAAATACCTTCCTTTCCAAAGTAAGCTTTCTCTTGCTCGATCCATTCATATTTTCTTGTGAGTTCCAAAACCTTATGTTTACAATCAGCCGCACACTTTTTGATATCATTAATTTCATGATTTAATTTTTTAATGTCTAATTTCAGTTCTCTGTTCTGGTTAATAATATCTTCTTTTCTTGTTAATAATCCTTGCATATCTTTGTTTTGCTTATTAATAACGTTCTTTTGTTCTTTAACACTATTCTGTAGTTCTGTAACTTTGTCTTTTGTTTCTTTCAATTCTTGCTGAAGAGTTTCTCCCTTTTGTTCAAACGAATTGCTTTTTCCTTCAGCTTGAAGTAATTGCTCATTACCACTTTCAATACTCTTTTTCAACTCTTTTATTTCTAATTCAAGTGTTTCTGATTCTTGCTCCCGTTTCTGCCATTCTTTGCGACTTTGTTCTGCTTTTTTCTTTAAGATGTCTAATTGATTCTCAGCTTCTTTTAATTGTTTTTCACGAATGTTTACTGCATCTTTTAACTGAGTTTCTATGTCTTTTGCGCGTTTTGTGCTATCCTTCTCTAAATTCTTTGCTGTGGTTATCCGTTGGTTAAGTTCTTCAATAGTTGCATTTAAAGAATCTACCTATCAAAGCATCAACAAAATAATCAACTTATAAAATATATATTTACATACAAATTACTGTAAATTTGATTTTCAAATACATATGTACATACCTCTTCCTTAATTTTATGATAACTTGTTTGTTGCAATCTCTGTCGTATCATATCCATTTCATAAGTCACTAGATCAAATTTTTGTTTTAATATTGCATGATTTTCTGCAGTTTGTGCAACATTTGATAAAGCAGTCTCTACATCTCTCAAGAGATGCTCTTTCTTGTTAAGTTCATTTTGAGTTTCTTTTAATTCTTCTAGTTTTAATAGAATTGATCCAGATTTTGCTGGAGCACCGCCAGATAACGTACCAGCTGGATCAAAGAGATCACCTTCTAAAGTAACACATTTTTTCATGATTCTTTCATGGAATGCTATTTTCTGGGCAGCTTCCATATCTTTGCATATAAATATTTGGCCAAAAATCCAAGTCATTGCTGGTGTAATCTCATTTGGGAAATCTAAGAGAGCCAAGGCAGGTTGAACATTCTCTTTTCCGACCAATCTTTCTGCCAAAGTGATTGTTTGTTGATCCATAAATTTACCAGTCACTCTATTAAGTGGTATAATAGTAACTCGTTGTTGTAATTGTCCATATTGGAGGATCTTTTTACTTGTGCTTTCTGTGTCAACTATTACATTATAAAGCTGAAACAAAATTACTATCATAAAATAAATTCTCATTAAAAAATTATTGATAAATGAATATTATTAATATATGAATATTACCTTTCCTCCAGCAGCTACTTCTAAGGCATATGCAGCTTTTTTATCCTTTATGCTAATTAATTTGCACACAATACCTTTTACTGATTTTGCATTAAAATTAGGTTCAGGATTTTGATATTCAAACCTCGTTTGAGGATGTCTTAGTTCAAACTGATCCAGTTTCTCACGCAATGGTCTTATTTCTGCCATCAAATTATTTTTTTGGTTTTTCAAGCTTTCTGAATAACCATCCTTATAGTTTAATTTTTGCAATTCATTCTCCAAATTTTTCAATTCTTTCTGTTTCTTCTCCAGATCCATATTATATTTCTTATATTCATTTTCAGTGCTATGCATATCTTTTTGTTTCTTATTCAACTGTTGCCTGTTATGATTCAGCATCATTTCACATTGTTTAAGCTCAGTTTGCGCTTGCGTTATGCTTTGCTTGGCATTTATTAATTGTTGCTCTAATGTGGCATTTTTACCATCTTCACTCTCCAATAGACCAGCACTGATCTTCTGATACTTCTCTTGTGCTTTTAATAATGCTTCAGTATCCTTCTGATCCATTTCCTTTAATTTCTGAAAAACTCCTCCAACTTTCTCTAATTCTTCTTCTTTTAAGTTAAGTGCATTTTTATCATCAGCTATGTTAATCTTTATTTGATCTATTGTTTTCTTTGTTATTTTAATATTTTCTTTGTTACTGTTAATTTCAGCTGTTAATTTGTGTTGCTTCTTTTCATATCCTTGTAACTCTTGCTCTAAGGATTCCAATGTACCACCTTTCTCCTATTGAAAGATTGCTTAATAATAATATTTATTTTATACTGCACATTTAAAGTACTATTTAAACTGCCTATGGTAAATTCAATATTATTCTTAAAAAATCTGTATTATTATTATTAGATTACATGTATAACAAAAAAGAACTGTTCATATAAAGATATATGAGAGTCACATATTAAAAAATTAAATAATAGTGTCACATATAAACAAATGCAAATTTAAAACATCTTCTAAACATATCTTCTTAGTCTTTCAGTGTTGTTTATATCTTATTATTCTATATGATATTCTATATAAATTTACAAATAATCTATGAATTTTATAAAAAAAAGAAATAGAACAAATAAAGTAACAAATAAATCATACCTCTTCCCGTTTCTTCAATAGCTCAGCATATTTTTCTTCTATGTTTTTGATTTCTTCTTCACCAGTAGCTATATTCTCTACATTCAAATCTATTTTATTTTGCACAATCTTGACATTCTCTTCTGTTTTCTGACTATTATTTAAAGCAGTAACATACTTCCATGCAAGATAAATTCTCTTGCAATGTTCAAGTTCTCTCTCTATCCGTTGGAATTCTACATATTGTGTTCTCTCTTCCTTCAATTTATTCAATCTTGGTCCTATTTCTTCTTTCAAAATCTAAAACATAGATTTAACAATTAGAAATATTAATGTGTAAAATGTATCCATGCGAAACTGTATTGACAACATACATCGTTAATCTCTTTCAATTTGCTATCCTTCTTTTCTATAGTAATAAGTGCCGACTGTTTTTTCTTCTCATACATTTTTGTTCCAGCTGCTTCTTCAAGCATAGATAAAATTTCTACTGGTTTCATATTTAATACTTTTGTTATTCTACCTTGCATGATCAGAAAATGTGGATTATTCACATTCAACTGAACTGAACAAAACAGATCTTGTACACGTTTATTTGGTACATTTGTTCCATTGATCATGTATTTATTTTTACCGCCAATTATTACTTGTCTTGTAATTATAATTTCATCGTAATGTTCATAACCCATAGGAGACGACTCTCTGTCATGATTATCAAATATTATTGTAACACTGGCTTTTTTCACACCAGCTTGTCCTGATTTATAAACTAAGTCTTGTAAAGAAGTAGCACGTACCTGTATTTAAGCAAATCCACCTTGTTAATTATATATTTTGATAAATTATAATGAATAATTTGCAATAAATGTACTAAACAATTTTCATTTTTAATGCATATAGCAAATATTAATGATTAATGTAAAAAAACTTTTGTAATTATATGCGTTATAACACAAAGTTATCCAAGAATATTTTTTATGAGAAAACTTTATGCAAGAATAAGGCTATATTAGAATATTGTGCAATATCCTGCAAAAAAAAAATTATGAAGAACAAGATTTATACACTCACTTGACCAAGATTTGTAATGCCCAAAACGAAACATATTGCGTCCAAAATATTTGATTTTCCAGTGCCATTGAATCCTGTGATTGCATTGAATTCCTTATCAAAAGCGTTTATTTCGATTCTCTTGCAATAGGATTTGAATCCTTCCAATATCATCGATTTAATATACATCGTTAAAATTAATAACAGAATATATTATAAAATACAACGTTATTAGCATATTAGTTATGATGCACTTTACGCGATATAACGCAAGAAGCTAATCTCCCGCAAAATTCGAATGTTTCAAACTGATAACTCGCAGAAAACCAACCGTTATACTCGCATACAAAAGCGAAGAAATATATCCTGCGAGGTAAGGAGCCAATCAGCTTCTGTTATTTCCACAAAAATCGAAGGATGATTGGTCACAAAGTAAAGCCCGTATCACACTACGCATTAAAGATTGGAATTTGACTAATCAGAATAAAAGGAGCTAAAATTTCTTGTTTCTGATTGGTCAAATTTCAGTTTTCAATTTTTAATCTCAATCTTCAATATATAAAGTCCGTATCTCAATCTTCAATGCGTAGTCTGATACGGACTTAAGGCCGTGTTCCAAAATTCACTGCCATACTGCCTACTGGAAATCTATTTTTTACAATTTACAATAGTCGCTTTCCATTTACATCAAAACTCAGATAATTCTCACTTGCGTTCTCTCTCGCTCGCACGTAGCATACATGCGAGTGAGAGAGAACGCAAGTGAGAATTATCTGAATTTTGATGTAAATGGAAAGAGAGCAACAATTATTGAGCCAATTAACATTGCAATAAAGGATGATCGATAAAGTCCGCCATTTCCTCGTTTGGGTTTTACATTGAGATGAATGATGAAATGACATGGCAGTTATCACCGAACAGAAGAGAGAAAAAAAATTATATATTGCATTTTATTAATCGTATATTTAATATACATAATAGATCCATAACTGTCAAAATAATCGTTACAAAATTGCCGAATCAACAATCATGCATAAATATTTGGATGCGTTCGACTCGAAAATAGCTATTTGATTAAGTTCCAAAAACCTACTAGTCTGATATTATTTGCTTTGATCAATCAAAACAAAGAAACTCCGAATGTAATAAAGTGTGAAAAAACGTTTGTAAGATATTAAAAATTTCTTGGAATCTATGTAGATATTCGGATTTTGTTTATTGCTTGGACTAATTAAAAATTTATTCCAAAATAGTATACAGAAAAAAAATAAAAGATGGAATATAAGGAATTTGAATGTACATGTTTAGCAGAAACAGTAAAAAATTTTTATTCATTAGTACCTCAATTAATAGAGCACATACTCTAAATACGCGAGTACATGCAATAAATATATGCTATGTAGATAGCATTTTATTATTGGAAAAATCAAATCTCCATAATTGACCCGGTATATTAGCACAGCTAGTCGCTCGTACGTTCTCGTCGCTATGTAATCCAGTACCATCGAGACAGAGCCCACTTTCTACATGTATTATTCTGCCATCCTACAATCAAAGCATATTATTCAGTCATTTTCGCGATATACATAGCGTGCGCGTAATAATCTTTGTTAATATTAAAAATCGATACAGTACATTAGTCAATATCCACTCTTTTCCGCCGTTTTCATTATTGCACTCGGTCATTTGAACTTGTACATGTGGCTGTTGATTGTCATCTAATATTATCCCACAAGTATCTTCCTTCCGTAATTCGCCAGAATTACTCAATGAGAAAAACTAATTTGTAGCGAATACAACATGGAATTTTAGCGAATTTGTCTTCAAGTATGACATTAATGGTTAGGTTCAATTGGCATTAAAATTTACAAACCTGACTTGGATATAATTTAGTATGACAACTGTATAAACCTAAATTGTATGGTTTATCTTCCTCGTGTTGCAAATTATCTAGGCACAATTGTTTACTGCGTAATCTGACACGACCATATGCCACCACATTTTCATCAGGGATAAATTTTTCTGGATAAATATTATCAAGATACCATTTAAAACTTTTGCATTTGAGCCTTTTACGCAATTCTAAACGTTCGCTTATATCTCCAAAAAGTTTTGGATTATCCTGCAAATTTTATTTATCTATGTAAGATGCAATATGTGACTTAAATAATTATTTGAATAATTTCTGATTTTACCTTGAATTCACTACGATGGAGCAAAAATAATCTCTTATATCCATCCATCCACACAAATGCTAAACGAGCAGTATTTATTCCATGAGTATCTTTATCATTTGGAAATTTATATGGATGAAAGTTTCGGAATATATGACCGACTCGAGAACAAGGAATGATTTCCAATGTACCACCACACTGCCAAATCTATCGGAGAGTATCAATTTATAAAAAAAAAAATTGATCTCATTAGGCTAATATTAAATTCTTGATACATGTGAATGTAATTACAGAATAAGTTTAGTAAGAATATTTAGAAATTTTACTTACTCTGAAGGACATCTCCAGATTTTCTCCTCCCCAACCATCCATTTTATCATCGTAACTACCAGTTTCCCAAAAATACTTTCTGTTAATAGCAAACAAACCACCTGCCATAGTAGGAGACCTAGTTGGTGATATAGGAGAAGAACGTGATTTGATCTCATGTTTCTGAATATTTATCCATGTGAAATGACCAGACCATGTAAATCCACCAACTTGAAAGAAAGATGCTTCATTATCATGAAAATATTCGAGTGTCTCCTCGGAAATATTATCAATTATTGGCATTAATACAGCATTTTTATTATCCTTTATTCGCTGTAACAATGGTTGTAACCTGTATTGTATTAAAATATATAAATATTAATGATGTTCTCTCTTTTCATTTGTAAAGTTATTGTTATATTTAAGATATAAAAATCGGATATATATATAAAACAGAGGAAGTATGTTTTCTAGTTAAATTAATACCAGTTCAAATTGATACCAGTCTTTGATAACTTCGCAATGTGCATCCAGAAAAACAAGAACATCGCCTTTAGCATTTCTAGCTCCATGAAGACGAGCGCGTATCAGTCCTTGTCTATACGATAATCTCAGTAACTTTACTTTTGCAGGTAAACGTGTTGAAAGATAATAATTTAGTTGTCCTTGAAGTTCTTCTACAAATCAACAAAACAAAAAATATACTTTTTAGTACATTATCATTAATTTAAATACTGATATTAATTTTTCTATACCTTCTTCACTATGATCGTCAACCAAAATAATTTCTTTCAATAAATGTGGCGGAGAATCCTTCAGGACACTGTGTACCGTACGTAACAGAACACTCCATGGTTCGTTATAAAAAATAATTATCACACTAGCGCTTGGTAATAATCTGTCATATGTAAGATTCATGCATCTGTAATGTAAAATCCATATATGCATTTACAAATACAAAAGAGAAAGAATATTATTACATGTAGATGTATAAAAATAATCTCTTTAAATGCTGTATCACACATATTAAATTCTTACAGTGGGTTGCGTATATCTGGTAATTTTCTAGTTAATGATATCTTATTTGAGAGAACAACGTTCAACGCTTTCTTTCTCAAAGCTGCTTCACCTCGAAACTTATCTTTTCCATATAGGTAAGCAGGTTCACCATTTTCTCCGAGTCCAGGTACAACATCATATTCTAACTTTAATATCTGCTCCTCATATCTAAAATATTTTTTTAATTGTTAGAAAGAGTGCAAAATAACTGAATAAAATTAATAATAAACAAATGTGTGAAATAAGTGAACAAAACTGCAGATGATAAATTATACAGCATCAACAAGATCAAATACAAATCTACCTTTCCTTCTGTAACCTTTGCAACGCAATATCTACATCTTTTTGTCTTTGCGAATTATTGTCTTCTCTTGGAAATGGTAGCTGATCCTTGTAACTCTTAGAATTGTCATCAGCACGAAATATTTGCCGGGCGATAATGAAAATACCAATTATATACAGTGTGCAAAATGACAATTTCAACACAAGAGTTTTGCGGTGAACAGGCATTATTCTACAGGAATACAATTCATCGCATAGCCAATATAACCGATATATCCAATAATCGGTAATATATTAATCACTGTATTTATTGCCAACGTCAAAAGGTCCAGGTTATGGTAGAGCAACACTTGTCAGATGTATATGTAGTTATTGTCGGTTATGTATTCCGTTCACGGCGCGTGCCACATCTGCAACAGGTGAAAACAAATTGTCAATATGGATCTTTGAAAGATATCGCGTATTACCGCGATAAAAGCGATACATATGTTCCGATATTTACGATGTGCTAGCCATACATTTGCTCTTTACTACGAGAAAAGAGAGAGAGAAAAAAAAAAAAAGAGGTTAAAAATCAACATGTGTCAGTGCCCGTAACAACATTTTTATGTGCCCTCCGACCGGTTATACCGGTGTGTGTATTGACATTTGATATACATGTATATTTATTTTTATTGCAAATTTTCAGGTTGCAAGCATAATGTAGATAATATTAAATCCATAGCAAAAGAAAATTGTCTTATTCTCCTGTCACACACATGTCATAAATAAAAAATTAATAATTTCTGTACAATTAAAATACGAAACTAGCACTCTATAGAAGGAAAGCTTTTAGAAATACATTATTTTGAGGCATATATAAGTTGTATTTAATTTTAGGCTAAAGTGAATGTGAAAATAACATAATTACACCAGATTTAAGATGCAAAAAGTATATACAAGAGCCCAATTATATACAATATTCTAAATGTAAGATCAATCATATGTAACATTACTATTCTAGGACTTTTCCCAATTTATTGTCTGAGATTATTATACATTTCTTTTTGTAATAGATTAAGTAAACTTTTATTAATCACTATTATAGCGTTTTTGAATGAAGCAGATTTGATCACAATTCGCCATAAACATATTTTTGACCAAAAATGGGTTTTGAATTTGATATAATATAAGTAATACATTAATAATCATCCCATTTAACGCTACTTTGGCTTTAAAGCACAAGATTCTTTGTCCTGATTAATCACACAATCAATTACTCGAAATATTTCATTAATTAATCTAATAATTCAAGTACTCCTAATAATTCAAGACAGAGTTTATGACGTAATTAATCGCTCTCAGAGCGATCAAATTTTCTTCACTCGAAAATGCTATTCATATCATGCAAAATACCCAAATATATCGAAATAAAAGCAAAAAATTCTAGGAAGTTCTAGGAATAGCATCGAATGTTTCTCTCTCTCTTTTAGACAGAAAGTATTGTTCAATATCAGAAAATGATTTGCCCAAAGTTTCTGGCAAAAAGAAGTATACAAAAGCTGTACCTATTAGGGAGATAAAGCTAAAAAAGAAAAAGATACCTTCAATACTCATGCTTTTTAAAATATAAGGATAGCTCTTCACAACAACAAACATCATTATGTAAGCAAAAGAAACCATGAGACCCCCACCGATACCGCGTATGGATACAGGCAATAATTCTCCAATCAACGTCCACGGTATATTTATAAATCCAAACGTACTGGTGCAAATATAAGATAATACAAAAAATAGTAATAACCATTTTTGGTCCACCATGGTTTCCTCTATATTACCATTTTCATCATATGACATTGTGAAATACATATACATTCCCGAAAGAAACATAGAAATAGTCATTCCAATTCCACTCAAGATGCAGAGAACTCTTCTGCCATATTTTCTACTATAAAACACTGTTAGTATACTTACAATGAATCGAATGATACCTAACATAATAAGGGCATCGTTTTCATCAAAACCTTTGCCAAATGTTCCACCCATTTCACGAAAGACAGAAATGGCATAAAATATGATCACATAGCAACCAGATAGTTGTTGCAACAGAAAAAGTAAGAAAAGTATCGTTATAGGCTTATAGACGGTCGGAGATGTAAATTTGTGATAATATTTTATAAATACTGTTATATTTTTTGACCCGCTCACTTGGTTTCTGTACGTTTCCATGATTCGCGAATATTCTTGCTCGTAAATCTAGAAAACGTTTATTTGTTGAAGATATTCTGATGTATAGAAGATATTACGAAACATTATTGTACTCACCGTTTGTCGTCTGTTAAGTTGTTTTAGACTGCATTTCATTTTGCAAATTCTTTTTTCGTCAAATATTCCATTTGTAAAGAATACAAGCCAGTAAGGGCTTTCAGGTACAAAGTAAAATGCAAAGAAAATGCAGCACTCTAATACAAGGAAAATTATAGCCATTTTACGCCAATCTAACAGTACAGCCAAACAGCAGGTAATTAATATACCCAATGAAACAAATACCGAATTAAGGCATAGAAGCATCGGTCTGACTTGCGGATGTGAGAGTTCTGATATATAAACCAATCCAACAGTCGTTAATCCTGCTGCAATGCCGGCTATAACTCGAGCCGCATAAATAGTAATTAAGGATTTAGCGAGAATCAATGAAATCCATGATATTGCTGCAGGAATACAAGATAATAAACAAACCGGTTTGCGTCCAAATTTATCCATTAGAGGGCCAGCAATGATAGATCCTATTGGCAATGTTATTGTAACTAGGCTTGCTACAGAACAAAAAGTACAAAATAACATAGCGCTACTACCACGTGCTATCCTAATTTAATAAGAATTTCTAAATAACACTACACATCTGTTGTAAGCGTATAACTTCAACTTATAGATATATAAATCTTATTATAAAACTGACCTATCCAAGATTCTTCGTTCTCAGTTACTTTGAAATCAACACTGTCTGATGCTAATCCACTTATTAAAACTGTACTATAAGCCATGTTTATACCAGCTTTTATAACCATGCAATGAATTATACAGCTTGCAATAACCTGAAGAAAATAATTGTGATAAAAATTTACATCTATAGAGAAACATGGAAAATAAAGATATCATGAAAATCTTACCTGTGGTGTTATATCTGTCATTGTTATTTTTTCCTTTGAGCTTCTGATGGAAGTTTGATCAAGAAAGCTACTGCAAAAAATTCAAAATAGTTTATAGATATTTTAAATAAATGCAAAGAAATTCAAAAATAATAACAATAAATACATTTACACATAAATTAACATATATACAAAATTCTTTTTCAAATAACATTGATTTGTACTCTTTATGCAAGCACTTTATATATTTTACCTTATAGTTTCATTGTCAAGTTTCTTGTCATTTTCTACAGTTGTGTACGTCCTTTCATCAGCATGTTCTTGTATTTTATCCATTTCAGATAATAATAACGATATCTTGCCAAGATGTATTTCTAAAAGAAGCATACAATAAATAATAAATATAGCATATAACAATTGGTACATCACTGTTATATATTTAAAAAATTAAGACAGAATCATAAAAATGTATCAATTAGACTAATTGACCTGATCTCTCAGATACATCAGAGATTCCTTTTTTAGAAGCTTCTCTGTCGTTTGTATAACAAAATTTACTAATTGAAGTCGTGTATATAGAAGTACTAAAGCTGTATGATAGTCACCCTATCGAAAATGCTCTTGTTAGTTGATTCCAATTGATATTCACGTTATTGCGCTGTGTAATCGTCTACCAGAAGACTTAGACTTATTTATGTTAATGTTCCTCATTTTTGAAATAAAAAGAAGTCAAGAAACGCCAAGAAATCGTCTCGTCTCGTGAGTATGAAGCTCACATTGGACTATGGCAATGGAGATAAAATCTAACAACACGAAACCCACTCTATGTCACAACATATTTATGCACGAATTGACCAATCATGCGTGTTGTATACAAACGCAATTCTACGGTTTCCTCAAATTAGATTCGTGATTGGTCGATTTTCCTGACGTTATAATTGGAGTTTTCCAGTAAGAAACATAGAACACAATGATTTGCTATCAAATAGAAAAGTGTTCGGGATTTAAAAAATTCTCCATTCGATAGCCAACTGCGTGACATTTCTATCTGTGTTTTATTGCTGGGAAAAGCACTTAAAGCCCGTATCAAACTACGCATTGAAAATTGAAGATTAAAGATTGGAATTTGACTAATCAGAACAAAAGGAACTAAAATTTCTTTATCCTGATTGGTCAAATTTCAATCTTGAATCTCAATCTTCAATGCATAGTATCATATCTGATACGGGCTTTATATTTGATCGAATTATATACGTTAGTGAGGATTCATAGTGTTTGCTTAGTGCGCATGCGCGACTTTATTCCTACTACAGCGCATCCATAGACATAGGCCGGTATTCATAGTCCGTTCTTATATTCAAGATCGTCTTAGCTTCCAACTTCCAACCATAGATGCAAGTTTTGCGTTTTGTGCCCGCTGCCAGCGCGTGTAGAGGGGATACGACACAAGCGTGAACCGTGTACGTGTAAAGCCCGTATCAGACTACGCATTGAAAATTGAAGATTAAAGATTGGAATTTGACTAATCAGAACAAAAGGAACTAAAATTTCTTTGTCCTGATTGGTCAAATTT